GCGGCTGAGGTCGCCCGAGACGGGGCATGCTGGAGGGTCGCGGCCCGGGCGGAGCCGGGGAGCGCACCGAGGAGCACATGCAGCGGTCCGCGTAGGCGCTGCCGGACGCACACGCCTGGTAGACGGACGTGCGGCAAAAGGCGTCGTAGCCGTACGCCGGGTTGGAGTAGGCTTCCGTGGGCACGCATTGGCCACAGTCGCAGGCGCCGCACGTGCCGCCTCCGCTCGGGGAGGGGGAGGGCGAGGGCGACGGCGACGGCGACGGCGACGGCGAGACGCCGGGCGACGGCGACGGCGACGGCGACGGACCGACGTAGTGCTTGCACGAGAACTTGGACGGGTCGGCCTCGCACTGCTGGCAGTTGTCGTCGGGGGAGCCGAGAGGAGGGGCGCGTGCGGGTCGCCCTCCGCCTCGGTGCTGCAGCCGGGGATGGTGACGGGGACGCGGCTCGGGGTGGTCGCCGGGTCGTCGTCCGACAGCACCGTCAGCTCGCGGATCTGCAGCGGCGTCTGGATGTCAAAGTAGAGCGCGATCTGCCACTCGTCCAGCGGATTCGCGGGATTGGCCGGCCCAAAGGCCTCAAAGACGAGCGCGCCGCCGGGCGGCGTGTGGTTGGGCTGGTAGCCGTGGGAGAGCCACTTGAGCCCGAGCAGCTCGGCGAGGTAGAGCAGGTTGGTGTCGTGAGCCGCGTAGTAGACCAGGCGCGGCGACGGGTCGTGCGCCAGCGCCGGCTCGCGCTGGCCGCTCTCCCACTGGGTGAGCGAGGCGGCGATGTGGGAGAGGAGGGCGGAGCCAAAGGGGCGCGCTGCGAGCAGGTCGAACTCAAAGGCGCGGTACTGCGTCACAAAGGCGGAGAGCTCCATCACCTCCTCCACCGATAGCTTGCCCCACGCAAAGTCCATCCCGTTGAGCATCGTGAGCTCGATCCACTCTGCAAAGTACTTGCCCGCATAGATGGGGCCCGAGAAGGTGGTGTACCAGTGCGCGGGGTCCCACGAGCCAGGGAGGTCCTCGAGGCTGCAGCTCTCCATCCCGGCCGGGCACAGCGACTTTGCGCAGCAGCCGAGGAGCTCCGACAGCTTGGCCAGCAGCGGCTTGTACAGCCGCAGGTACCCGTCCACGCTGCCGCCGACGCGGCCCTCGACCTGCGCCTGCGTGCCGAGCGCGCACTGGCCGTTCTCTCCGCGCGGCTTCGAGCCCTGGTCGATGAGGTACTCGACGCCCTCTGAGTGCAGCGGCGGGAGCGCGCAGCCGAGCCCCTTGAAGAAGGCCTCTGCCGTCTTCTCGTCGCGGGGCATGTTCTCCTCGCAATACACAAAGGCGGCGCCGTCGGCGCAGCCGCCGTCGGCGGCGGAGAGGAGCGAGGCGTAGCGCCCCGACTGATAGGCGCCCATCCGCTGCACCGCGGCGTACCCGTGCTGAGTGAGCACGCCCATGCCCTCGCCGCCCGCGCCCCACGCCTCGTCCGACGTGTCAAAATGCTTGCCGGGCGCGTAGAGCGAGAAGTTGAAGGCGGAGCTGGGGAACTGGCGGCGGACGCCGTGACGCGAGACGATGATGGCGCGGTCGGGGGCGGCGTGCCCGACCGCCGCAGCAGACGTCACGAGGAACATGGTGTGCCCGTCGCCTGACTTCGCGCGTACCGCCGAATTTCGTCTTTAAGGTCAGTCTCGAGCACGTCGTCAGCAGGGGATTCTTAGTTCTGGCAGCGTCGGCGCCGACCTGCTCCCGCGCTGGCCACGCATCATGCTGCGCTTCGCGAGCAATCGCGTAACGGGAGGCGAGCTGGCTTTTTGTGGCTTTTTGGCTCTTCTTCTTTGGCTCTTGGCTTCCCGCCTCCCTACGCCTCTGTT